GAACCTGTTCACAGCAGCATCAAGCTCAACTTCTTCTCCAGAGTTTGTGCTCACGTCTGTTGAGGAGAGCAGCAAGCACCTGGAACTGTTGGGCGTTGAATCTTTGGGAACCTGCTATACTTTGAGGCTAGCTTTGGCCAAAGCTGCTCAGAATTGCCTCTACAGTGAGTATGACAAGTTTTATGAGCAGTTCCTGCTGAGCAAACCTTCTATGAAGAGCTTGCAAGATGCCATAGGGTCAGAGCAACTTGCTGAGTTTGTCTTGGCAGAGATTGAAAGCCGTATTCTCCTGAACCTGAGAGCTGTCAAGGCTTTGGACGTGGAGGCTTTGTCAGCTGGCAAAGAGAATGTAGACAGCGTTTTGGAGGTGGTGGCTATTTGCAAAGCTTTGGTCTCAGCGTGCAAGGAACATACCAATGACTTCATAGGCAACTCTCTCCGTGAATCTTGCGAGTTGGCCTTGGGCCTTGTCAGCGAAGAAGACATATCAGCAACTCAACAAGCTGTAGAGGCCTTGGCTGAGATGGATGGCGAAAAGGAAGGTCTTGGGGGCATTGAACAGTTTCTCCTCAACCATGCTGTTGGCCAATCCCTTGTGGCCTTGGCTACAAGCCGGGTAGATTCAGGGGAGAATGAGGCTAAGGCCACAGAGTCATTGAAAAAACTTGAGGCTTCACTTGGCTCACTTCAAGCGGTTTCGCATGGAGGGGCAAGTGTGGGGATTAAGTTGATCACTGCAGATTTGCAGCCAACCCAAGAATTGATCGTCGAATGCAGCAAGCAGCTCTCTGTTCTCAAAGCTCGCAAGGCGACAAAGGAACCCCTGGCAAATGCAAAGCAAACTTGCCGAGCTCACGATAGGCTGCGCGATGTTCTGAAGGAGCACATGTCTGGCTTTGCGACGCAAACACAAAGGCTGCTGCGCGAAGAGCTCAAAATCAACCTGACAGTCCACCTGCACCTTGTATGCACTGTGTTTCTTTTGGGCTCAGCGTTCATGTTGGACTGGCCACTGGCCGCGTTGGACTGGCCACTGGCCGCGTTGGAATGACCATATGATAGATGGTGTGGCTGATATACGATATATGATTCTGATTCGATATGATGTTTGATATTTGATATTTGCTACAGGCTGTAGTAAATTGTAAGCGCTTCACACAGATAGGCAGATAGGCAATTCCATTGATTTTGCAACCTGTACTGCTGTGGATCAGCGCCAGTTATTCAACAGAAATTCCTAGCAGGCTTTAGGTGCTGTAGTTTTTAGTGCCATGTTTCTGTCATACGATACTTTTTTTGGCAATGGGCCATGGGGCTGCAGAACAGAACCTAGGAACCATTTGTGCATGGCCGTCAGCAACGATAAGCCGAGGGACTGCAGCAAGACATTCAAACTAGATGAGGTTTTGCCAAGTTTGCGGCACACTTGTTTGCTTGACCATACCTTCTGGACTACTTGCTCGGCCAGTGCCCAGGTTGCAGGCCTGCTTCGGGACTACAAAGATTTGTCACAGATGGTGTGTAACGCTGCCAAGTTCGTTTTTTCTGAGAAGGATGAAAAAGGCAAGAAGCAAGATGTGAACGCTTCGGAGCTCAAGCGATGGTGCGACACCCTCCCAAAGCTCTTGCCAGACAGGGTTGGGGCCGACTTGGCCAAGACATTTGATACGAGGTTTGTGTGTGTTTGCCAAGCAAAGCATGAAGCGCTTGCCTCTTCTGGTTTGAATGCCATCGCTTCCTTGGTCACAGCCTGTGAGTCTGGCTCACCAGGGTCTCTTTCAGCAGAAGAGCAACAGCAGCTGCTGCTCAAAATACCGAAGGCTAACGCCCTCAAGTCGTTGGTATCTTCCTTCTTGGAGGTGACTGGCTTGACTTTTTCATTGAAGACGCTGCGGCCTGTAGCGCTTTCTTTGGTAAGTCTTAGGCCATAGGCCCCTTTTGCTTCGACCAACTTTGACCTATAAGCCGTCATGAAATCAAAGTCTTTTTGGCTGTTTCTGCAAATGGTTCTGTTAATATTCAGTAAACAAGCGCCCAAATCAAATGTTTGTCCACCGGTTTCATTTGCCCTGTGGCAGGTGGTAGGATGGGCAGCCCACGACAAACTCAGCATCACTGACGCAGTGAGCTTTGTAGCAGCTCTGGAACTCACCTCCAAGCATTTGCAGTTAGTTAGTGCTGACAAGACTTGCCAGGACGATTTGAGCAAGTCAGGTTTGCTTCGAGCAGGGCCATGGCTGAGTGAAGTCACTAGAAAGGCAACGAGCTCAGTGTTGGACCTTTTTCAGAGCGCAAACAGGAGCCGTCAACTGGGTACAGACAAGCTTAGGGTGGTAAAAATGCCAGATTTGACCGATGCAGATGCTTACTGCAAGGTTGGTCTCCGCGCTGTTGGCCAGCTGGCCCAGTTGACCCGCGAACTTGAAGCTGATATCAAAAAGATGCATGATGTGAGGAGTGCAATGACCCAGCTCAAGTCGACAAAGTTCTGTCCTAAAGAGGGGCCACCGGCCGTGTCAGTGATAGATGCCTGGAGCAAGCAATCAGGGAGCGACCCTTTGCAGCCTAGCGATTTTGAAAACACCAGCAACGAAGCAGTCAAGATGTATTCTTTCCATGTGGCTGCAGTGGCTTCTGTATGCTTGCTTCGCAGCGAACAACTGCAGGCTGAAACACCTGACAAAAAGAGCATGAAGGACTTGGCAAACCTCTCAGCCACTTTGAAGCTGAAGCTCGATGGACTTCCAGAAGACTGCAAGGCGCTCAAGAAGTCAGGGGCAAGCCTCCTGGCAGAGTGTGAGTCCAAGTCTAAAGGAGTGGCCAAGCGCCATGTGAGTGAGGAGGGAGGGCGACAGAAGGGCAGTGACAAGAAGCTGGCCTTGGCAAAGGAAGGGAAGGAGCCACAGAAGGCAAAAGAAGAGAAGGAACCGCAGAAGGTGGAAGCTGGCAAGGCAGAAAAGGCAAACGCTGAGAGCTCAGGCAGAAAGAGTGAAACCGAAACCAAGGATGGAAACGACAAGGGCAAGGGTGAAGACTCGACCATGGATTTCGCGAGTCTGTTCACAGAGAGCAAGAAGGAGAAAAAGGAAAAAAAAAACAAGAAGGACAAGAGTGACAAGAAGGACAGCAAGAAAGATAAGAAAGACAAGAAGGCCAAGAAGAAAGAAAAGAAAGACAAGGAGGGCAAGAAAGACAAGAAGGAACTGAAAGAAGGCCAGAGGTCAGAAGAGGCAAGGAAGAAAGAGAAGAAGAGCCACAAGCAAGATGACGTAGACCCAGAGAAAAAGAAGAGAAAGAGGGAAGAAAAGACGCCTGAGCGCAAGAGGTCTTTCAAGCAGAGCCTGTGGGGCACGCCAAAGAAGAATGCTGCAAAGGCTAAGGCTAAGGCCAAGGCCAAGGCTGAGCCTAAGCCAAAACCTCTGCCAAAGGCCTCAAACAGAGGCAGGGGCAGAGGCAGAGGGCGTGCCTAGCGGTTGATGGCCTCTGGCCCTGTAATTCTTTTGCTGCGTTTTTACTTGGTCTTGGCCACTGGCCCAGTTGTGAGCTTTCGTGTTGCCCTGTTTTCCACCTCAGCACGGGCTTCCACTTCTGAGCTGTAACCGGCCACTGACCTTAGACTCTGTGCAGCTTTTGAAAAATGAAAAATGTCTCAAGCAGAAGCGGCTAAGCAGGGTCCAGGGTTTGTTTTGTGCCCTGTTGTGCAAATTCTCTGTTGGTTGGCTTGGGGGTTGTTTCTACGTTTGTTACTAAGCCCTTAGCCCTTAGCTTACAGGCTCAAAACACTAAAACCACGGTGAAGAAGCCCAAAGCAGACACGCGCTGCAGCAGCCATGGTGGAACCTGCCCCTGCCAAGCGCGCCAGGGTGTTGCGGGAGCACGGCTCTGGGGATGCGGCGTTGATGCTGTCGGCTTCAAGCCGGGTCACTTGCCCAGAAGACATAGTTGATGGCGCCCTGTTGCCAAAGTTAGCAAAGGAAAATTTCCAAAGTTTCAAGGCAGCCTGCCCAGCTTCCCCAATGGCCTTTGGCCTTTCGCCTGAGAAGGCCGACGGCCTGGAGCTGACATGGGGGTCGTGCTGCTCTGGGAGTGAGGGGGTGCACTATGTGGTGGCTGCCGTGGAGGATGCGTTGAATGATCTTGGGTACTATGTGAAGTTCAAACACATGTTTTCATGCGAGTCCAACAAGCACAAGAGGGAATGGGTGCAGCATGTCCTGAAGATGGGCAATGTTTTTCAGAGCCCGGTTGACTGGAAGTGCGCAGAATATGGGTGTGTATTTTCAGATATCTCCTACATGAGGGACAAAGTGGCCATGTGCGAACATCACCAGCAGGATTGCCCCATTGTCGGTGTTGACTTTTTGTTCATTGGGACCAGCTGCAAGGATCTTTCCAGAGCGAACTCCTCAGTCGACCGATCTAAGCTTGTGTTTAGCCAGGAGAAGTCCAAGGGGGGCTCTGCTCAGACGTTCAAAGGTTTCATTGAGTATTGCCAGGGCCACAGGCCGACTTGTGTATTGTACGAAAATGTCGATAGCATTGACGACAAAATTTCCAACAGCGCTGAAACGAACTTGACGCTCCTCATGCAGGCCATGGGGGACATCGGCTACCAAGGGCAGAAAGTTTTGACCGATGCAGCGCAATTTGGCTTGCCTTGTCGCCGACGCAGGATGTACATTTTGTTTGTTCGGCCAGACAGCCCCAAGCTGGGTATGCACTCCGATGGGGCCATTGGCCGGGTTTTTGCCCGAGTAAAAACCCTTGTGACTGCTTGCATGAGGAGCCCCCCATGCGCAGAGAAGTGTTTGCTTCCAGACGGCCACCCAGTTCTACAAGACAGGTTGAAGCAGTTGAAGATTGCCGCCGCCAAGAGCATGGCAAGCAAAAAGCAACCCCAAAACACATGGATCGACAAGCATATGGCCTATGCTGACCAACTTGGCGTTCGATGGGGGGGTCCTACGCCGCTGGCGTTGTCGGACAATGAGTGGGTCAACACTATGACCAAGCGGGAAGTTGATGCCCTGCGATTGTCGCAAGTGGAAGGTCCGACGTGTGCCTTTCGCAATCTCAGCCAGAGCGTTGGACGAATCAACGCATATTCTCAGCAATGTAGCCCCAAACAGCTGGCGCCGACCATGCTGCCAGGGCAGCAGCTGTGGATGGAGTCGCGCCAGCGGCTCATGGTAGGTGAGGAAGCTCTGATGTTTCAAGGCTTTCCTATTTTGCTCCTCCAAGACCTTCAAGATAAATGCGGCCTGCCTGCTGCTTGCTCTTCTCATTCTTTCCTCCAAGACCTTGCCGGCAACGCCATGGCGCTCCCAGTGGCTATGGCCATGTTCCAAGCTGGGGTCGCGTCCCTCCCATGGATTCCTCGACGAGACGATGCAAGTGATCCCGGCGCAGAAGATGTGGCAACTGCCTTGGCTGCAGTGGCTTTGTTGAAGCAACGGCAGCCAAGGCCACTGGCCAGGTAGTGGAGATTCCATGGCTGCACTGGCTTTGTTGAAGAAACGGCAGCCAAGGCCACTGGCCAGGTAGGGAGATGGGCTAAGGCTAAGGTTTTGCTTGATGACTTGCTGGCCGCCAGTTTGAATGAAAAAGTGCGTTCGCTGATTGGCGCCGCTCGCTGATTCGGTCATGTT